GCAAAGCCCAGCGAGGCTTCGCCAACTATAAGACCAAGATGATTGCACTCCGATACCCTGACGAGACACTTACACCTTCGACAAGGGCTATGGGGAAAATCATCCACCAATACTACTCGGATCTCTTCGCTAGCCATGTCCTCTTAACGTCATGTAATTGAAAGAGGACGAATATGTCGTTCCACCGGTCCTCGCTCCCGAAGTCCGACATGCTATGTCGTCGGTGAAGAACAAAACAACACCCGGTCCAGACAGGATTAGATCAGAACACCTAAAGAACCTGCCGCCAGTTTTAATCAACACCATGGCTCAGCTCTTTACTCGCTACCTGTCAGAATGCAAGGCCCCCATACAATGGAAAACCAACAAGACCGTATTGTTGTTCAAAAAGGGAGACCTTCACGACATAGGCAATTATCGCCCAATCCGCTTGCTGTCTGTTATCTATAAACTCTTTACTCGAGTCATCTTAAACAGGATTGACAGAACACTGGACGAAGGACAGCCATGCAAACAAGCAGGGTTCCGAAAACGATTAGTGCCATAGATCACATACACACGCTCACAAGCTCATAGAATTTCCGCGAGAGTACAAAATACCGCTTTGTCTCACTTTCATCGATCAGAAGAGAGTCTTTGATTCAGTGGAAGCAAAAGCGGTTAGAGAGACTCTGGATAACCATGGCGTCACTACTGGGTACATCATGATCCTTCGTGAGCTGTATAAAGATTTCAGGAGGAAAGTATTCCTATTTTTCAGCAATATCACCATCGACATAAGAAGAGGTATTCGACAAGGCGATACAATTTTGCCAAAATTATTCGCTACCACCCTTCAAAACGTCATGGAAACATTAGAATGGGACGATATGGGTGTGATAGTGAAAATTGACGGTAGAGAATTAAACCATCTTCGCTTTGCTGACGATATCGTCTTCATAACACCAAGCATCAGTCAAGCGGAACGAATGTTGACTGATTTCGATAACGCCTGTAGAAAGATTGGTCTTCAACTAAATCTAACGAAAACGATGTTCATGAGGAACGGATGGGTTTTGAATGCCCCATTTACGCTCAACGGAACGACAATCTCCGAATGCTCCAGTTGCGTCTATCTTGGTTGTGAAATTAACACGATAAACGATCAGCTCCAGAGTTGAGCAGGAGGAAACGAGTGCCTTGGGGAACAGTTTAAGAACATCGAAGATGTAGTGAAGAGGACAAAGAACATCCGACTCCGTGCCCACCTTTTCGACTCGACGATTATCCCTGCCCTAACGTATGCAGCAGAAACCTGGTCGTTACGTAAGCAGGATGAAAGATCACTTGGCGTTATCGAACACGCAGTCGAAAGGTCGGTGTTAAGAGTATCCCGTATCTCGCAAATGAGAGAAAGGATCCGAAGCTCCTACCTACATCAACGATCGAAAATCAGAGACGCCGTTCTGCACGCCAGTATATCGAGAATAAGGTGGGCCGGACACGTGATGCGCTTCAACGACAACCGATGGAACAGAGCCATTACCGAGTGGATTCCGCGGGATATCGAGCGCTCTAAAGGAAGACCACCGACCCGTTGGTCCGATTTCTTGACGGAAGCGATCGGAGAAAGGTGTGATGATCAACGAATCCCTAGAGCGAGGAGGACCCACTGGGCTACTCTTGCTCGCGCTATAGGGAAAAATGGAAGTGTTGCTGGTACCCGCTCGAGTCACTCGTCGATCAACGGGACGACAGGTGATACAGGTGATAGGACGTCAGCCCACAATTCAGTCACTTAGTGGAGTTATTATGGTCTCCATAAAACGGAAGCCGTATGCGAATAAGCAGGAGGAACTTATAACACGATTTAGTACCACAAAAACTGGTAATGCACTTTATGAATTTTTTCGTGTCTCAGAACAAGTGTGTAGTGTTTCATAGCACTCGGTCCACAGCTGTGCATCGTCTGGTAACTCTTCACATCTAGGTAATAAAGATAAGAATGCGTAATATTAGGAAGTGTGTTATCATTGCTTGCTTCGATAGCTTGTCTAGGGAATAAAGTGATGGTGATTCGCTCACTAGAATATGTTAGCACCGCTTGTTCAATAGCATCTACCATGTCGCTCATTTCCAGGACAAAAGCGGCTGCCAAGCGTCTGTCAGCTGCAAAGCGAACTTTGAGGTGTTGTGACGAATAAAGGTAAAGGAAATGAGATTTTCTCATCAAAATTTCCGCCAAAAATATTGAATTATAGAAAGAGTAGTAACAAACTTTATCAGTGAAGAATTTAATTCTTGTTCCATACATCCATTCAATTACAATATCGAGTCCATATGGTGTAAAGTTCTTTTGGAGCACTTTCAGATGATCCAGGTGTAACATGGTTGAAGCCCCTGAGAAGACGAAAAAAACTGTCATTGGAAATAGTGAAAAAATTTTCGCGTCGGGTTGTTATATTGGCTGAAGTTGCAAATTTATAGGAACATCGATTGATTAATTGTATTCTGTTCACTCTTCAACAATTTCGAGGAAATTTCGAATTTTCCTCATTTTCATAATATAAGCAATGGTAGCCCTTGCTAACATTGTTATTGAATTTCTTATGATGAAAAATGTAGGATGAATCGACTGCTATCTTTAGAGCTTACTAATGAGTACTCAAAACCAGTAACACTCAGGCTGAAATAGAGATGAGTTTCTACTTATCATTGAGAAAATATTCATCTAATCTGCGACCTTTTTCACGAAATCCCTAGCCTCGGTTGTACGGACTCTTTAAAGTACATTATGAGCTGCCAGATAATTAACTCTCTACTTCATTCGATGTGTTTTTCGAATTATCGGTGGAGGATGCCATATATCTAAACGTCTGAGTACTTTGAGTGCTGATCCTGTGACATTTGATGCAAAAGAATGGTATTCAAAGTGTGGAGCTGATCACCCTTCCTTAGCGTGGGACATAAAGCAGGTCACGTGTTTCTATTTTACGAAGTATGGCATACAAAGCATTCAGTGTTGATTGGTCGCTGAAAGATATACCACGCACTGGACTTCATTAGGCATCGTAGAAGTGGTTGAATCCATGCTTAGTTCATATACTTGTGGAAGCTTACTGATGTGTTAGTTGATGTTTTAATCCTGCTTAACAAGTCCGATACCATTTACCCCATCCTTTTGGAAGAGGTTTTCTTCAACGAATGGTACTGATGTGAGCATCACGTCTGCATTACAGCATACCTCTAGTTTTTGAGTTATATGCTATGCAACCGTCACTTGTATATAAAACTCATTATCTGACTCGACGAGGATTTCTTCAATAACAGTTGTAGTGAATCAAAGTAAGGCTGAGAATTTCACAGCTGAACCGTCTATCATCGTCAGTTGCCTGATCACCACAGGATAAGAAAGATGCATTACAACAGAAATTTCTAAGAGGTTTGAATATTTATCGGCTGTTTCGCCATGAATATTATTGCACTCAATCATTTGCTTGAGTGAGGTAAATGGATTTATTACATATCATTTTATTGTTCGTGACGGTCGGTCGTATACACGTATCATTAAAAGAAATCCATTTGCCTCCTTGTGCCCGAAGGGTTCGGTTGGCTCACGTTGGAAAGTTTAACATATTTTACTTTTAATATTCGAAGGGAGTGTAATCATGATTATATCATCGGGATCTGACATGCTGTAGTATTCTCCGAGCTAGGCATCCAAGTGGGAAAGACGAATTCTCCATTCTATTCGAATTTCTTAGCGTGATCATGGCTAACAGGGGATCTTTTGCTCAGATTAAATGATAGGTATGCAGGCTTTCCGCTAACTACATTACCTAGAATTATATTTGAATGCTTACCATTAGAAATGAGTTTGGTGAGGACTGGTGAGCTGTTCAACAATTTATGATGAATTCTAAAAGCTGTTCCGTCCAATTTCAAACTTCCGTCTGTGCGTCGATTTCGAAATAGTTCCGTCTAAAGTAAATGTAACTAAATTTACTAGGAATAAGGTATTTAAATACACAGAATTTTCAGTGTTATTCATGATAACTGGATCAAAACATTGCTCGTTTTCGTAAATTTAGTTTTAACGAGAGGCAGTTTTGTTTGAGAGAATTGCTAAGCACTGAATTAAGCGAATAACCTCACCTTTGAAGGATTTTCTATAACTATTCGTAGAGCTACGGTGTTCATTGAGCTGAAGCGTCGACCACTCTGAGGCACGTAAAGAAATAAATAGAAGATAGCACACAGCTTTATAGCTTTATGATAACATAGTTATCAAATATGGACAAGCTAAATCACTATTGTTATTATGTATAGAACTCAGGTAGTACTCTGCTGAGTCCACTTCTTGATTATTCGAGGTCCAGGTCTCTTTCAGTTTTTCCCCAAACTTTGGTAATCGTTCAATAACATGAATCTCGGCGATTCCAACGCTATGCCTGTTTTTTAGAAAGGTACACTTCTAAGTACACTATAGGGGCGAGAATAAAACTGCGTTTCACATTTAACGCGCATTATCGCGCGTATTTTTTGTTGTTTGATTGACAAATTTTTTCGCAGTTTCGCAGATATTCCGAGTTTCCTTACAAGTGTTGTAGAAAAACTTTGTGCAATGGCTTGCTCTTTTCTCTTCGCTTTACATTGCTAAATGAGGCCACTGCTAAGTCAAAGTCTAAACCCAGGAGTGCGAATCATCGTCTTCTTTCCGCTCTTTTGGTGATCTGTGAAAATCTTTTCAAGAAACCATATTATCTTCAGAATCAAGTAAATTCATGCTTCAAACATCTGAGGAGTAAGTGAGGATACCTTGTATTGAAATAGTTGGAAAATGCGTGATAACACAATTGAAATTCCAAATATTAAAGTTTCACGGCAATGCATAGCCGATTATCATCATAAAATCGCTTTAAGCAGGCAATTTAGTACGCTGCTCTATTACGGATACATTCAAATAAAGACTCTTTTCCTGCAAAGCTGTGTGTATTTGTCAAATCAGATACAAAACAACCTGCTGTCAGCAGGGGTCGAACCTGCGACCTTGGGCTTACTGGACCCACGCTCTGACCTGTTGAGTTATGGCAGCCGTTGCTCTTAACCCTACGGAAAGGATAATGTTACTGATAACATTGAAAGGAGTGCGAATGTAGCTTTATGAATGAGCACTTGGGGAAATTCTAGGTTTGTCTGTTAAACCGGATGCAAAGCAATGTGCTGCCTGCAGGTTTCAAACCTGCGACGTTGGGTTTATTAGACCCACGCTCTAAGCGACTGAGCTATGCCGGCTACGGTCCTTACCATCACATGTTCATCTGCCAGCTATGACCCGTTCTAAATGTTCATAGCCAACTATTTGCTACCCTCTTTTTCGACCTACCAAGATTAGAACTAGAAAAGGAACCATATTTCTAACACGTTGAGAACTATCTGAGCTGTTATTAGCTCAGACCTCGTGTCGTGTGTACGGCGGCGCGGCGGAAGTCTTTATTATAATGCCATGGAATGGAAATTTGGGAATTTGTTTAGTAATTTGAGGTGCTGAAGGGATATTATTGTGATCAAATGATAAAATGGAGGAGAAGAGACTTCTATAGAAGCTTCTATAATCAAGAGAGTGCCCATGTATCGAAAAATCATCTATGTTTTGACGTGAGAAGCACATTGTTGTAAAAGGGAGCATATCACCCATGATTTTATACTCATGCAATAGCTTGAGAAATGCCTATTTTCCCACTAGGTTTGAATTGAATATGAATGAATATATATATATACATATATATATATATATATATATATATATATATGATAGTATAACGATGTTCAGTAACAGTTCGAAATATCATCTATTACTGAGTGTCTGTCTTTTCCCTCGAGATTCGAGGTTTTAGGAGGAAGCATCGCCCTTATTTCTGTTACAGATATCTTTATCGATGTCTCTTCCATCATATTTCACCATTTACTGAAAACGGAAAAAAATCCACTTTTCATTAGAAAACTACCACAACGTCATCGTAGCTGACGTGCGACGGTGCCGCGTGTCTCGCAGGATTTCAACGTCGTTGTCAGTGTGTTGACACCTTAAGTACGATAGGCTCATGGCGTTAATCTTGGTAGGTCCTTCGTTCACTTTTCTGTCAATCCCGTTTAGGATGACTCGAGTAAACACTTTATAGACAACGGACAGCAGGCAGATTGGGCGATAATTGCCTATGTCGTGAAGGTTTCCCATCTTAAACAACAATACGGTCTTGCTGGTTTTCCATTGAGTGAGGACCTTGCATTCTGACAGGTAGCGAGTGAAGAGCTGAGTCAGGGTCTTGATGAGAACTGGAGGCAGGTTCTTCAGGTGTTCTAGTCTAATCCTGTCTGGACCGGGTGTTGTTCTGTTCTTCACCGACGATATAGCATGTCGGATTCCGGTAGGGAGGACCGGTGGAACGACATATTCGTCCTCTTTCAATTATATGACGTTAAGAGGACATGGCTAGCGAAGAGATTCGAGTAGTATTGGTGGATGATTTTCCCCATAGCCCTTGTCGAAGGTGTAAGTGTCTCGTCAGGGTATCAAAGTGCAATCATCTTGGTCTTATAGTTGGCGAAGCCTCGCTGGGCTTTGCGAATGCTCTTTCCAGCTACTGCAGATTCTGCCATAACTGCTGCTCTTCTCTTTTTGAGTCTTCTTTTATCGCTTCTCTGCAGCGTTTCGCAGGTTCGAACGTAAGGTTTCGGTTGCATGTAGCTCGTGCGATTCCACGTTGACGTATCAGCTCGAGTGTCTGCAGAGACAAGCGTCTCTTCGTGACCCTGGGACTCTCGGCTTTCATAGCGCTAACGTGGAGATATTCAACGAGTCGATCGTATTCTTCGTCGATGTTGTCGACAGCGGTATCTTCCCAAGAGCCGACTATGATTTGAATACATCCCAGTTCATGGTAGTTCTGGGACTTCGTTGTTTAAATTTAGCGGCTTTCTCTCCTCTCCGTGAAAAACGGAAGGTTGCGCGAAGGAGGCGATGGTCTGATCCCGTGTAGAACCTAGGAGCAACAGCGACACGATCAGGCAAAACCTTCGATTTACTAAGATGTGATCTATATCGTTATGGTACTCTCCACTGGGAGACTCCCACGTCCATCGCTGAGACTGAGGCTTTTGGAATTGTGAGTTAAAATTGATAGTTTGGGTCGTTATGAAAAACTCAGATAGCCCCTCACCCTGTTCATTCCATTCTAGTCCATTGGCCCTTATGTGACATTCTTCAGACGCTCTTGTAGGTTCAATTTTGCATTAAAATCTCTGACAATGACCTTGTTGATTGGATTGTAGGCAACCTCGTCTTTCCAAGCTTTGAAGACTACAAAACAGATGGCATGTCAGGTGTCAGCTATGTCAAAAGATGTAGACCACATAGTTTGGTAGAAAGTTTTAGGACTTTCTATGAATAACTGGATATATGGACGGTACGTCTTCACGAATTGTGCGGATCCTAGCACATTTCTGATCGTCTCTTCTTCTCGCGATTGTCGTCCATGGTGGTGGTTTGATTCAAGCATGGCGACTGACGCGAGTGATTCCGTGATCACAGGAGGTCTGATATGGCATTTCCGGTGGTATTCGTATGTTTTGCCGTTCTCACATGCGTCATCAGTATCACACTTCTTATGGTTCACTTCTAGTACTAAGAACAGCGACGGTGCACATTTATCATTCTAGACAAAGTGAAATACTACTTATACTTAATATTGCGGTCTAAATTGATTTTCAGTCGATGGTTTACAGTTCTTATGTGGCATATAGCAATATCTTCCAATCGACTGTGCTTGCAACTTTTCTCAGAAATCCAGTATCAATGAGATCCCATGGATAACAGCGGTTTGGTTTCTGCAAAAAAGATGGGATAGACACGCGCGTTGTTCTATAAGGTTCATGATTCCTGGAAAACAAAGCACCTAACTAAAATGAAAAAAACGAAAAAATTCACAAATAAGGAATAGATATAACGAATCGGCGAAAAAATTGTACGCGCACCTAAATTTCAGCGCAGGCCGATCTTAGCTATGGAAATCAAGACTAATTTGACAAAATGTTTTGAGCATTCAAGATGACCCTGCCAATAATATGCGTATTTTTCGCGCTCAGTAGTAACGGGAACCGTAAGGCGTGCGGTACTGATGATGTGTGCGAGAACGCCGAAGCGGACGCATATCACCGGAAATGCCATATGAGACCTCTGATAGGCTTGAGAGTTTCATCAGACTATACCGCATTTTTTGCGAGAAGCATAGCCGTTAGAAAGAAGGAGCATATTCATTTCAATGCGTACGTTACCGGTTGAAGTGAATAAGGTAAGATGTTTTCAACGCCGTTTTTCTCGGCTCTGACGATGTAAGCGACACCGCCGAAACGTATGCAAGCTCCTGATATATCAAACCTCAGAAAGGTTCAAAATTCTACAAAATAATCGATTGAAGTGCAATTTCTACGCACGCTTCATTTTGATCGTTTATATGCTGCGCTTATATCTCTTCCTGCTTGGCATTCGTATTCGTTTCGTCTAGAAAAGAAATAAATGTACCATCAGTCGAATCAGCCTCGATAATCCTTGCACACAGTAATCAACAAAAACTGCTTTTTGGACGAGTGTATTGGTTCAGATCACTTCGTTTTATAGATTTAGATGAAATACTCATGAGTAATTTGTGAGAATTACATAGCAAACATTGAGGAAACATGTACGGCAATGGTTCAATTCCTACCTCTTATCCTGCCTTTTTCCATTTACTAAGTTATTCCTTCACACCGTGACTTACACAGTTTACTATTTGTTGCAAGCTCTCTTACATATGATCAACAATTCCTACTTAAAAGTGGGACTTCCTATGAGAATTATAGAAAAACAGATAGAACGTGAGCTATACAAGCAGTACATATTCTCAAAGGTCATGACGAGCAATGTGAAAAAAAGTGTCTTCTACATAGACTGCGTTGGTTCAAGCGTGATTCAAATTTTTGTCCATTTCTGAAGTTCTTATCAATTGTTAACCTTTATGACACGCAAGTGAACTTCATTGCTTTCGTTTAGAGAAAACTAGACGGCGGTAGGGAACACTTTTATTTCAGAGACAACTCAGCTTTGCTAGTTAAACTTTACACAAAAATCCTCCCATTCAGTCTCAACAGGTCCTCTAATTCTCTAAACGACCGTTTCTTGAAACCTCGATGAAAATATTCACATATATTCTGACAACATATTCATGAGGACTATTACGGCACTTTCATGAGGATTATTACGGCACTTTTCAGTGTTAGACGTATGTTTCGGCCTTCTGGCCTCATCGATAGCACGGTGCCTTTTGAGTTTAGGCAATCCCTTGTGCGAAAATATATTCCTACATATAGCGACATCGACAATGAACATGTTACACTGCACATGCTCGAAAAAATCACTTCACACAGCAATAATAACAAATAACTACAAATGGCATAGTTATCCGGCATTGCACTGATTGACAGTCGATTGCTTCTGGTTGGTCAATTGATGAATGCCTTCATATTCGACACCTCATATGCAAGAGTAATTTCCTTACAGAGGATTAACTGAACCAAAAGGCACTATGCCATTGATGAGGCCAGAAGGCTGAAATCGTACGTCTGGTTTTAGAAATACCAGACCTCACGAAAGATTTTAAATACGCTGTCGGGATGATGCGAGGTCTTAAAAACAACTGAATCTAAAAGTATTTAAATCGTCTTTGAGAATGTTCACAGTCGGTTTTTCCAGGCTTGTTGCATCAATTTCATTCGTGGCAGCAAATCGGCGCTCGCGCGTATCGGCGGTATCGCCAACATAAGTGCCTTTTCAGCCACTTGACCCCCAGGGTATTGTATTATTTATACCAGTCGCAAGACATCGATTTTAGATTTCCTGGCAAGCATGATTTACGACTATAAACATTTTCAATTACTAGAATTCCCATGTATTTTTCAAAACTTCTGAGTGATTTTGTCTATTACAAGATGTATATAGTTAAGTTGTCCTTAGGAGTAAATCATTCCACACATAGAAGACCAAGACTGTCCTTTCCACTTTCTAGTTCTTTCAGGAGAAAAAGAGCCTACGATGTAGTTTGAACTTTCAGATCTACAGAGTACAGTAGTATTCACGAGCTCTATACGTTTTCGACCTCGTCATAACCAATCTCAAAGTAAATTCTTCGAAGGTGCTTTACTACAAATTTAGTTCTACAACGGCGATATGATTTGCCCATAACATTCTTTACTTGAACAGT